AATGAGAAGAGAAACAGATTATATAAATCTGAAGTGAGGAAATTCACAGATTAGACAATGCAGAAGAGTCGTGAAATTGAAGACCTAGCAATAGAATCTAGCCAAAGTGGAGCATAGATATCAAAAAAAAATGAAGGAAAAAAAAAAAGATCAGAACCTCAATGCTCAGTGTGTGATCTAACATACATATAACTGGAGTCTCGTTAAAATGGCAGAGAGGACAAACACAAAAATATTTGAATAAATGTCTGAAAAATTTCCTAAATTGGTAAACACCATAAACTGACAGATTCAAGGAGCTCAATAAACCCCTAGCAGGAAAAACAAACACCCATACTATAATCAAATGGCTGGGACTGCTGTTTCTGTCTAGTATGTAGAGAGCTGCAAAGGGTGTCACTCTCACCCTAACAGCAAGAAAAATCCAGATAAACTATAAAATCATCACTTTTCTTGAACTTATGAATTCTCAAAGCAACAAAGTATTCTTGTCCCTTCCAAGAAGAGACAACACATAAAGACTGGCTCATCTGTGACAGAGCCCAGGAGAAAGCATTATAGCATGCCATAAGCATAAAAAGAATTTGGCTAAATTTTTAACAAATTGCTAAAGGCAAAGTTGGGGCTAGCAGACCCCTTAGGAGCCATGGAAACAAGGGGCATTCGCACCCACTCGCATGCTCTTCTGCTCTTGAGACTCAAGAAAACAGGACCTGACCAAGACTGAGCCTGGTTCAGAAAAGAGATACCTCTCCGCCCATCGTTGCCATCACCCTCCATCAGGCTAGCAAGCACCAAGTAATAAGTAACAGCAGTCCACTGTTAGTGGCAAAAAAAGACTGTGAAGCAAAAGCCCCTCTGAGGCAGAGGCACACAGCCAATGCCAAAGATAAAGATGGAGAAGAAACACAAAAAAACCCACAAACCTGTGGCACCCCAAACCCCACCCTAAGCACGAGGTAACAAGAGAGGAATCTCAAGCCAGTGACACAGTAAAAATAACAATAGCAACAACAGAGCTCACACTAAGCTGAACTCCTAAGTAGACTAACTCAATTCCCTACCCCCATACTAAACAACTAACTGCAGAAGCAGCAAGCCAACTTCCAGACTTCCACCTCCATCTCTACAGATCCTACAAAGATTTAAAAGGTTAATAAGGGATTATCATAATTTTATGCCAATAAATTAAAAAACAGTCAAATTTCTTAGAGACACAAATTACTAAAACTGGCTCAAGAAGAAATAAAAAAATTCAATAGACCTATACCTATTTTTAAGTTGATTACATCATTAAAATTCCACAATGAAAACTCCAAAATACCAATCTTACACAAACTGTTTCAGAAAATAAAGGAGGAAGACACATTTCCCAACTAATAGTATGATGTCAGCATTATTACCCTGATACCTTGAAACAAGGCAAAGACATTATGAGAAAAGATTATGGACCAATATCCCTTTTGTTAAAAAACAAAATCCTTAACAAAATATTAGCAAAACAAATCAATCATCACGACTGAGGTTTTTTTTGTTTGTTTGTTTGTTTTTTGCGGTACGCGGGCCTCTCACTGCTGTGGCCTCTCCCGTTGCGGCGCACAGGCTCCGGACGCGCAGGCCCAGCGGCCATGGCTCACGGGCCCAGCCGCTCCGCAGCATGTGGGATCTTCCCGGACCGGGGCACGAACCTGCGTCCCCTGCATCGGCAGGCGGACTCTCAACCACTGCGCCACCAGGGAAGCCCCCATGACTGAGTTTTATCTTAGGAATGTAAGATTGGTATAATGCCTGAAAAATCAATTAATTCATCATATTAACAAAATAAAGAAGAAAAAATATATCATCAGTTCAACAGATGCAGAAAAAGCATTGGGTAAAATTTAACACATTCCCTTTCAGTAAACTAGGAACAGAAGGAAACTTCCTCAACCTGATAAAGGACATCTACAAAAAACATAACAGTTAATATCATACTTAATGGTGAAAGACTGAACGTTTTTTCTGTAAGATCAGGAACAAGGCAAGGATGTCTGCTCTCATCACTTATATTCACCTGGTAGTTCTAGCCAACACAATAAGGGAAGGAAAAGAAATAAAAGGCAAACATACTGGAAAGAACAAAGTAAAACTATCTTTATTCACAGATGACATGACTTTGTATGTAGAAAATCTTAACAAATCTATTTTAAAAATCTACTAGAATTAATAAGCGATTTAGGCAAGATCCCAGGATTCAAGGGATCAAAAATCATTTATTTCTCTACAAACTTTAAACAAACAATTGGAAAATGAAATTTTTAAAAATATCATTTCCAATAATTTCCATAAACATAAAATATAGGAAAAAATTTAAGAAAATAGGTATAAAACCTATACACTAAGAAATATAAATGTTTCTGAGAAAAATTAAAGACCTAAATAAATGGAAAGCTATACTGTTTGGGCTTCCCTGGTGGCACAGTGGTTGAGAGTCCGCCTGCCGATGCAGGGGACACAGGTTCGTGGCCCGGTCTGGGAGGATCCCACATGCCGCGGAGCGGCTGGGCCCATGAGCCATGGGCCGCTGAGCCTGCACGTCCGGAGCCTGTGCTCCGCAACGGGAGAGGCCACAACAGTGAGAGGCCCGCATACAGGAAAAAAAAAAAAAAAGATATACCATGTTCATTGAGTAGAAGACTTTATATTGTTAAGATGTCAATTCTCTCCAAATTCATCTATAGATTAAATATAATTCAAATCAAATCCCAGGAGGCTTTTCTGTCATAGAGAATTGAATTCTAAAATTTACAGAGAAATGCAAAGGATCCAGAATAGTGAAAACAATTTTGAAAAAGAATACATTTGAAGGACTTATTACACTATCTGAGGTCAAGATTTAATATAGGTCAAGACTTAATATAAAGCTACAGTGATCCAGATGATATATAGACGTATGTATCAAATAAACAGAATAGAGCCTAGAATAGACCAACACATATATGGTCAATTGATTTTCGACAAAACTGCAAAATAATTCAATTCGACAAAACTGTAAGGTAATTCAATGAGGCAAGGACAGTCTTTTCAACGAGTGATATGGAAACAATGATATCTATAAGGGAAAAAAAGAAGCTTGACCCTTTATACATACACACACACACACACACACACACACACACACACACACACACCTCAAATGGATCACAGTCTAAAATGTAAAAGCTAAAACTATAACCTTTAATAAGAAAACATGAGAAAATCTTCACCTCCATGGATATGGAAAGACTTCTTAGGAACAAAAAGCACTAACCATTGAAAAAAAAAACTGGTGAATTGGACTTGATCAATATTTAAAACTTCTACTATTCAAAAGATCATTAAGAAAACTGATGGGGGCTTCCCTGGCGGTCAAGTGGCTAAGACTCTGTGCTTCCAATGCAGGGGGCATGGGTTCAATCCCTGATCAGGAAACTAAGATCCCACATGCCATGTGGCACGGCCAAAAAAAAAAAGAAAACTGAAATGCAAGCCACAGACTGAGAGAAATATTCATAATACATATGTTGTAGGCAGGATAATGGCCTCCCAAAGAAGTCCCGTCCTAATCCCTGAAATCTATGAATATGTTACCTTACATAGCAAAAGGGACTTCTAAGATTTGATTAAATTAAGGATCTTGAGATGGGGGATTATCCTGGATTACCCAGGATAATCTGACCAATTATCCTCGTTCAGAGTCAGAGAGACTGGAAGATGCTACCTACACTGCTGTCTTTGAAAATGGAGGAAGAGGCCACAAGCCAAAGAATGCAGGTGGCCTCAGAAGCTGAAAAGGCAAGGGAATGGATTCTCCCCTAGAGCCTCCAAAAGGAACACAGTCCTGCTGACATCCTGAACCATTTCAGACTTCTGACCTCCAAAACTGTAAGGTAATAAATGTGTGCTGTTTTAAGTTACTTAGTTTGTGGCAATTTGTTACAGCAGCAGTAAAATATTAATACATATATATGACAAAGAACTTGTATCCAGAATTTTAAAAATTCTTATATCTCATTTATAAAACAACACAAAAAGGGCAAAAGATTTGTACCCATACTACACAACAGAATGTTGTACCCATATTTCACAATAGAACAGCCAGTAGACACATGAAAAAATATTCAACAACAGTAGCCATCAGGAAAATGCTATAATTAAATCCATAACGAAATAACACGAACATACCTACCAGAATGACCAAGATTATAAACACTAACAAACATAAGTTGGTGATAAGAATGTGAAGAAACTGGAACATTTACATTACATTAGTGGTGCATACAACCATTTTGGAAAAAGATTTTACCTAAAGGGGAGGGGTATGTCCCCCAAAACTCGTAAATGAATGTTCCTAGCAACTTTATCCCTAATGGTGAAAAATAGGAAACAACCCCAAATGGCCATCAGTCAGTGAATGGATAAACAAATGTGGCTTGGTCATATGATGGAATACTACTTAGCAATAAAAAGGAACTAATTACTGATACATACAGAAACATGGATGGATCTCAAAAACATGCTGAGCCAAAGAAGTGAAACACAAAAGGTACAGAATTCCATTTTTATGAAATTCTACAACAGGCAAAACTAACCAATAATGACAGAAAATAGATCAGTGGTTTTAATTAAGGGGATTAAGTTGGGAGCAGAATGACTGCAAAGGCACACAAGACAGTTTTTGAAGTGATGGAAATGTTTTGTATCTTGACTTTGGTGATGTTCATGCAGGAGTATCCATTTGTCAAAACCCATCAAACTACACTTAATGTAGAAGTATTTTACTGTATATTAATCATACCTCAATAAGGCTGCTTTTAAAAGAATAAAATGCCTGCACCAAATTAAGCAGCCTATAGGTTTATGAAGCTGAGTCCTCCTTCTTCCATTTGTAATATATACCCACTCATGCTGTGGAATGGAAGAAACCTGAGTCTACAGGCAGCTTGGTGACACATCCTACAGAAGAAACAGCACATGCTTACCTGAGGTGCTACATAATATGGGGTGAACTGAGGTGTCATCAAGTCACCTTGGTCAATTTTGGCAAATCCAAAGTCACACAACTTCACTGGGGCATCCTGAAATAAAACAAATGGGAGTCACTTCTCCAGAGTTCTCGGATAATGTCAAAGGAAAATGCAGGTGCAAGACATGTTACCTTAAGCTCTCAGGAGTTTCTAGCTGAGACCTGAACCTATGAGTAGCATGTCCTCAGCTCTGGAGACAATGAATCATATTTAGAAACTGTTCTTAGTAATATAGAAGTAAGGAATTTCTACCCACTCACAATTATCCCTGTTTTATAACTTGTAAAGGCAGCACTAAAATCAAGATGCTTCCTGACTCTACTGGCCTATTATCTCTCATCAATCTAGAGTGCTGCTTCACCCTCAACATCAGCTTCATGACAGCCAGAGTAAGTTATCTGGTGGGACACAGTGCATGGGGCACGGATTGGGGCTGGAGAGGAAAACACACCTTATGAGGGTTAACACTAAACACAACCATTAAGTTCCAAGGTAACATATAACAGCATATAGATTCCTGCCCCTTCCCAAAGTCCTTCCAAATAATATCCAAAATCTAAAGTCCTTATGTACAAACACACATCAGTGTCATCCAAAATGATCGATGCCAGGGGTATGGTACAATTTCTCTGAGCCTCTAGCAAGGGAACAGATATGGGAAAAGTAAGCTGCTTGCAGCACTTTGGCCTAAAGCCTCTTCACCATGGATTCAGAGCACTCCAAGCATATACACACCTACACACTGTTCCTGAACTATACTGAGAGTAGCAGCACTAAAATACAGAAGGGCAAGTCATCTCACCAAAGAGTTATCCTTGAAGAGCAGATTTTCAGGCTTGAGGTCTCTGTGTGCGATGTTTAACAAGTGACAGTGCTGTAGAGCCAAAGCTATCTGGAAAGGACATAATGGAGCAACCATATCTTAGAAAAGATAGCTCTTTAATTCCCCTGGTTTAGAGAACTCAGGATGTTAAAAAATGATCTTTACTAAGTCAATTAAGACTGTGGTCAGTTTTCAATTTTAAAGCAGAAATTAAGTAAGATTTCAGATATCAAGAAATAGAAATGAATTAAGCTGTATTTTGTTCAACAAAAAGAAAAAATACAACAGTAAAACAATTCTTTGTCATAATCAACTGATGGTTAAATCCTGTATGAAATGGGAAAAATGAAATACTTGCACTTCCATTAATCTGAGATGTGACAAGTACTGCAAAGCAAACACTGGGCCAGGCAGTCTTCAGAGGGCCTGGCTTCCCCCTAGCAGGGCAGCGGCACTAATGCCTGACTCAAAGGAAACCTGCACTCTTCAGGGAGCCCAACTTGAAGTTCTGCTTTCAAGAACAGAAAGCAGCTGAATGGATTTTTCCACCTGATGTTCTAATCTGCCCGTCCCACTGGTTGAAAATGTTGCCTGTTTAGGTGGATTTAAAGGAGTTTGGTTTTACAGAAGATTATCAGAGCTCATCCTTTAGTCCTAATATTTGAAAAATACAAGCTATAATTTTTAAAATCAAATAGAACAGATTTTATCTGTTCTTTAACACTCTGTATGGAATTGCCTTGGCATTCCAAATATCAGTTCCTCCCTACCAGAAAGGAGGCATCAAAAAATGCTTGAGGCTCACAGAAAATTTGGAAGAATTTTTTCATTAAGAACCAGTTGGGCTATGTGTCCTGCTTCTCTCTGCTTTGCTTGCTTGGCCTGAAGAGAAACCTTGAGGGTTTAGCTTTTTCATCTCCTCATGAGGTTATTTCCAGTTGGATTCCTAGTATTGTTTGTGACGTACATCATTCCTCTAGCAATAAAATGTGATGTCAAAATAGAGAGAACATAAAACCAGGAATAACCCAGAATTACAAAGACCTTAGACTACTATTAAAATCTGATGAGAGAAAGGTGACTCATAAGCAAAAAGTATCTTATATGTAATTGCCTTAGAACATATTTTTACACCATACAGTCTTTCAGGTAGTATCACTAGCATTTTATCTCAAAGTCCAATAACAGTGCTTGGAAGCTATACGTCTAAAGATTATCTACAATCTAAAACAGAGTTAAGATTACCTTCCTTCCAGAGTTTATTTAAATCTTATCATAGGCAAACAATTGAAAACCACTTAAGAATACAGGTTCCCCCCACCAAAGCATAAAAGGGGGTCACATTCCTCCTGTCAAGGCATCTTTTCTAATTACATAACAAAGCAGGCAATGAGAGATCAAATAGAGCTTTTCTTCAAGCTTTCTTTTATTCCTCCCAATAAAATTGTGCTTGTTAACCAACACTGTTGGCAGTTTGATTGGTACCCGGGGTTAACTTGCCTGCTTTGTTACTTGGCTGGCTTGCTTCTCTGTAAAGTGCCGGTGCTGGCTGATTCTGTGAAATAGCTCTCCCCCTTCCATCATCTCCATTACAATTAAGAGTCGAGCCCTGTTTGAAAGCATTTGATTTTGTTAAGTTAAAAAACAAAACAAAACAAAACAAAACTGAAACATCAAGTAGCTAACCTAGATACCTCATCTACAAAGTGTTACTATGTCCTAAATCTAGTCCTACCAAGCCCCTTTGAGTTGGATCCCTTGTCACTACCAGCTGGACACTATGAATAAGGACTATCCCTGACCTAAAGGTTTCTAAGAAGCTAAAAGAAAGCAGAAGAATTAGTTTTGAAGACAATGATCCTTTTGAAGATTCTGAACTTAACTTGTATATACATTTTAGGGAAGCTACACTGAAAGTGTATCGAAAACAGAATACGACTTTGTATAGGACATGAATATCAAGTCATTCAGTTGGGCTGTCTTGGTTATTCACTCTCGTGTGTGTGTGTGTGTGTGTGTGTGTGTGTGTGTGTGTGTCTCCCCCTCTCTACTCCCTGCCCCCACTCCACTAGTTTTCCATACGACCCACAGCATGCCCAGCAAGATAGCCCCTCTCTACGCCCCCACTCCACTAGTTTTCCATACGACCCACAGCATGCCCAGCAAGATAGCCAGATAGGGTTACACAGCTACTAAATAAAAGCAAAAATTCTCATGTCAAAAAAAAAAATCCGAATTTTGGTTACCACTCTTTGATATAAATGCTTCCAGCTTCCATCCAAATGCTTTCACCAACAGAGCACAATTTTAAGAAATAATCATTTGATGTCCCATTCTTCTTTACAAATTCCATCTTTTTCCATCTGGAAAACTCCTACTCACCCCCTTCAAGTCCTCGCCCCCACGTAACTGCTCTGAGGCACCTCGCCGCCCTAGCCTACAGAGGGCAGCTCTCCTCCTTTGTAAGCTCAGAATATTTTATGCATGCCTCTCCTTGGTACCTACCACACTGCTAGAATAATAGGTTTACATCTCAGTCCCTTCAGTGGAAACCATAACTTGTTTAACTTTGAATTCCCTGGAAAAGATTTAGAATGACACCCAGTGAGCTTGCCAAACATTTGGAGGCTAAAAGAATGATGTTGATTTCTTCCTTTAAAAGGAATGTCAGATTCAGCAATAAGGGCTTTTTGCCATATCAACTTCTAAGACATTGCCTAGAATAATATTTGGTCTCCTTTTGCTAATTTGCAATAGAATCTGTTTTAATTCCACATTACCCAGGGGGGGCCAGGAGACTGGGTAGGGTATAGATGAAGCAAGGCTGGCAATGAGTTGATAACTGTTGAGGCAGGGTGATGGGTACTTAAGGATTCATTACATGATTCTTTTACAAATGTTTGAAAATTTCCAAATTAAAAAGTAAAGGAGAGAAGAAAAAGAAAGGAAGGGAGGGAGGCAGGCAGGGAGGGGAGAGAAAGAGGGCACAAAAGAAAAGAAGACCCCACTACACCTTGGCTTACATATGGAGAGGTGGTCATGTGATAATGACCCTGTATAGTCTTACCTGGGGCTGGACTCATGAGGAAACTGTACACTGTTAGCAAACACTTCAATGATTTGAACTATATTTGGGTGTGTGGCACACATCATGTGCAGACGTACCTTAAAGAAGAACAGAGGAAATGTTTCTGTACATAGGGGATGCCAACATTTTCTCTCCAAACTTTCCCCCCAAAACTGACCACACTAGGCCTGTGGATGAGCCTATTACAGTAAAAAATCTTATCACCTGGAATGATGTTAAAAAAAAAAGTGTTTTCATACACAGATTACCTCCTTAATGCTCTTTCCATGAAAAAAACCTCACCAACAGGTTTATTTACTTCTACTGTCCTATCTATTAGCAAATGAAAAATTTGGTAAATAATACATCTTATTTCAGAAATTATTCATATATCTCTAAGCAAAAGAATAAGTCCTTCATTGCATATTATTAACATGTCATCACCACATCCAAATAATTTTAAACAAATGCCTATTATTAAAAACTAGAAATACATCCTCAGAGTTCTCCTGCAACACCTTTTCAATACGCTATTCACTAGAACCTTCCTCATACTATTTTATCTCCACTCTTTAAAGACCTTTTCCAATAAGCAAAAGCTGAAGTAAACCTGAGTATTTTGGGGTATAAGAATCGCATTAATTGAAAAAGAACAAAAGGTGGTTTGAAAGGAAGCAAGACTTCACTAACAGCTTTTGGTACTGATGGATGAAGAACTGCTTTATAATGATAACATGGAATAGCAAAAAGTATGAACATAAACAGAGTAAGTATGAATATAACATTCTTTGTGAATCTCTGTATTCTCTCCATGAAGCTGCCTTACTTGTAAAAAGAATAATTGTTAGGCACTTCAAATATTTAGGCAAATCAAGGCAATAAAGGACCATACCTCATTTCTAGCTTTTGGACGATCAAAAAGAATTTTCAGTGCAAACCGTTCTTGGGTAGATTTCTTCACACAGACTCTAGATTTGGAGAAAAAAGTTCAATCAGAAATTATCTAAGTTACAGTGAAAACTAATTTAGCAAGCTGTTCTTTGAGAACTGTGCTTCTAATCAAAAATATATCCAGGCACATCGGAACACACTTGCCCCCAGGTCTAGCAGATGGAAAGGCAGAAAGGCATCTCGCCCACCCTTCACAGGCCTTAGACATGTGAAATCAACTTGATGCTGGCCAAGAAAGACAAAATGGCCTCTGCTGGCTACAAGTGACTCATACAGTGGCTCCATGGTATCAACATCTTAAATGATTCTGTTACAGATCATGTGACTTCGTCACTTAAATATATTTCTAAATGGATGAGAAAAAGCCTATCATAAATACCTCTGCTTGTTAAATTAAGGCTGTTTCACAAATCTGGCAAACCTAATGCTTCTAACTTAAGATGTATTTCAAACAGGTCCTCTTTAGAACAATTGTGTCATAGTTTGTACATGGGTCTCTTACCTAACTGGACCACTAATTCCAGCTCCCAGCTTCTGAGTCCAATTGATATTGTATTCCTCTAAAATGGAGGTTTCCTATTAAAATAAAAATGGAGGAGGCAGAGAATGATTCTCCAGTTAAAAAGCTGAATAGTTAAGCAGAGGTGGGACAACAGAAAACCTTAATGCTCAACATCTCAGCTTCTGAAAGAAGCTGATAAGTAGAGCTTTGTGTAGGGCTTTATAATTACACATTTCGCCTACAGGACTATGCTAGGCATTGTTTTCCAACAAGAGAAGGCAAACTTTAGGATAAAAATAAATTCTTCAGCTCATCTGCAAGGTCCATGTGAGTAAATACTCATGTTTTTTTTTTTTTCTTGAGTGTGGGAAGAAGATATTCTTTCAAAATGTTTCACTACTAAGTACTTATTTGCCAAATGGTCAAGTATATTTTCTGAGATTCTAGAAAGACTGGTCTGATATATGCTGCTATGATATAGAGGTCTATATCCTTGAACAAGTTGATCAAATTGGAATAACTGAATAAATTAAAACTTAAAAGTTCAAATAAAATAGTAATAAATATCGTAGTACATTTATCTAGTTTTCAAGTGCTATTTTGAGTACAAAGATATTGTCACGTTCACTGTGTAACTATATTCTTCACAGTTTTAATAGATTCCAATAGCTTTCAATAGTTCCAGATACAGCCTCTACAGTTTAATTAAAGTTTTTATGGAATTACTGTGTAGTCACTAAATATTGAGCTTCTGTTGCCATATGTTTTTAGGCAAGAAAGCCATACACTTGAACTGTGGTAGGCTAAAATTCATTTTTCAGGGTTCCACGGGTAGAACAGAAAACCGATACAGACCTGGAGAAATTAGGCCAAAACTCATGAGACTATCAAATTGTTTTGTTGCAATGAAAATCTGATAGATTATAATTAGCAACAGAATCTTGATTCCCAGGTATAGGAACAGAATATTTGTCCATGTAACACAAACTCAATGAGCAGTTAGTAAGTGCCAGACACCAGGATAAGTTCAGAGATGAAAACAGAGCTTCTGTCCAATGAATATGTAAGTGTATAAAACAAGCTTAGAATAGCCTTCATCTCCACACCTTCCTGCTGCCAGTTCTTGATAAAGGTTCCCATCATATAGTAAACGCTCAATAACTATGGAATGAATGACTAGAAAGGTGGACTAAAACCAGGTGATGGAAGGACATTGATTTGCTAGGGACTAGCAAAATCATTACACAAACTCTCTTCTGAAAAACTGTATATCAGGGTTAAGGAGCTTGTCAAAGTCACACAGTGAGTTATAGGTACTGATAAGACTAGAAACTATGGCTTTGGCCTCTTCCCCAGCATCATTCATCTTTGGCATCATCCCCAGCTATCAGGGGTAACTGCCCAGGCCCCCGCATGAGGATTAGGAATGAATCCTGCCCAATTAGGGAGGTCCCAGGTCTCCACTCACCATCTCCTAAACAGAATTCAAACCTACCCATTTAACCTGTCTACCTCCTTCATGTTTCCACTGCCTATCCTGCCAGATTCAGAAGTATTTGAGAAGACAGAGAGGAAGACAGAATTGGGAAAGAAAGAACTGGAGCACAGTCTATGCTTCATGGTAGAGTAAAATTTGCCAGGCCTCTAATGAAGACATACACTCACTGGAGACTCAATGGAAAAGAGAGATTCGTTCTACGGAATTATTTGTTACAGTCAGATCAAAGGACTATTCATATGTCCAGTTCCTGGGATGTAAAAATAATATTAGACCAAATTCTTCACTGCACTGGTGCTTATTAAGATGGTACTCTACCTAATGGACAGCCAAGAAAGTTCAAATTACAGAGGCTCTGACTGAAGTTTTGACACTTGGCTTTGCAGAAGGTAAGAGAAGCACTACCAGGTCTCTCTACAGCCCTGATCTCTGAACCCTATTTTTCTTACGTCTGTTGTCCTCTTTACCAGGTTTAATTCTTGCACATTTGTTGATGGTGCCATAAACACTAACCAGTTCTAAGACTTCACTAAGCCCAGCTGGGCAAAAGAAGTAACATTCTCACATCAGCCGACTCTTCTATGTGTAGATGGCATATTTTCTCACATATTTTAATGGCAAAGAGAAGGTAAAAAGGCATGGGTCAATTAAGACACTTTATTGAAGAAAATTATGGACTACCCCAAATTTATCAATGACAAATACATTGACTGGGTTCTGCTAAAGAAATCTATACACTGGGACTTCCCCAGTGGCACAGTGGTTAAGACTCCGTGCTCCCAATGCAGGGGGCCTGGGTTCTATCCCTGGTCAGGGAATTAGATCCCACATGCATGCCACAACTAAGAGTTCACAAGCCACAACTAAGGAGCCCACGTGCTGCAACTAAGGAGCAGGCGAGCTACAACTAAGGAGCCCTCAAGTCGCAATTAAGGAGCCCGCCTGGTGCAACTAAGACCCAGCACAACCAGATAAATAAATATTTTTTTAAAAAATCTATACACTGTCTTAAATAAGGATATAGACTCATGGAATGAAGAACAGTTGACCCTTGAACAAGATAGGGGGTTAGGGGTGCTGGCACTGGCACAGTCAAAAATCCACGTATAGGGGCTTCCCTGGTGGCGCAGTGGTTGAGAGTCCACCTGCTGATGCAGGGGACACGGGTTCATGCCCCGGTCCGGGAAGATCCACATGCCGCGGAGCAGCTGGGCCTGTGAGCCATGGCCGCTGAGGCTGCACGTCCGGAGCCTGTGCTCCGCAACGGGAGAGGCCACAACGGTGAGAGGCCTGCGTACCACAAAAAAAAAAAAAATCCAAGTATAACTTTAGGGTCAGACTTCATATCAGGAGTTCCGCATCCATGTTTCAAACCACAGATCATTTAGTACTGTAATCCATCTTTACTGAAAAAAAATCCATACATAAGTGGGCCCACACAGTTCAAATCTATGTTGTTCAGGGCTTCTCTGGTGGCGCAGTGGTTGAGAGTCTGCCTGCCAATGCAGGGGACGCGTGTTCGTGCCCCGGTCTGGGAGGATCCCACATGCCGCGGAGCAGCTAGGACCGTGGGCCATGGCCGCTGAGCCTACACGTCCGGAGCCTGTGCTCCGCAACGGGAGAGGCCACAACAGTGAGAGGCCCGCATACCGCAAAAAAAAAAGAAAAAAAAAAAAAGACACATGCACCCCAGTGTTCATTGCAGCACTATTTACAATAGCCAGGTCATGGAAGTAACTGAAATGCCCATCGACAGATGAATGCATAAAGAGGATGTGGTACATATATACGATGGAATATTACTCAGCCATAAAAAGGAGTGAAACTGGGTCACTGGTAGAGACGTGGATGGACTTAGAGACTGTCATACAAAGTGAAGTAAGTCAGAAAGAAAAACAAATATCGTGTATTAACACATATATGTGGAATCTAGAAAAATGGTACAGATGAACCAGTTTGCAAGGCAGAAATAGAGACCCAGATGTAGAGAACAAACATATGGACACCAAGAGAGGAAAGTGGGGGGTGGGGGTGGAGGTGGGATGAATTGGGAGATTGGGATTGACATGTATACACCAATATGTATAAAATGGATGACTAATAAGAACCTGCTGTGGGCTTCCCTGGTGGCACAGTGCTTGAGAGTCCGCCTGCCGATGCGGGGGACGCGGGTTCGTGCCCCGTTTCGGGAGGATCCCACATGCCGCGGAGCGGCTGGGCCCGTGGGCCGTGGCCGCTGGGCCTGCGCGTCCGGAGCCTGTGCTCCGCAAGTGGGAGAGGCCGCAACAGTGAGAGGCCCGCATAACGCAAGGAAAAAAAAAAAAAAAAAAAAAAGAACCTGCTGTATAAAAAAATAAAATAAAATTCAAAAAAAACCCCAGAGGAACAAGCGCAAAAGAATAGACAAAATGGATGTTATGAAAATTTTAAATTTTGTGCATCAAAAAACACTAATAGGGGCTTCCCTGGTGGCGCAGTGGTTGAGAGTCTTTCTGCCGATGCAGGGGACATGGGTTCGTGCCCTGGTCCAGGAAGGTCCCACATGCTGCAGAGCAGCTGGGCCCGTGAGCCATGGCTGCTGAGCCTGCGCGTCCGGAGCCTGTGCTCCGCAACGAGAGAGGCCACAACAGTGAGAGGCCCTCGTACCGCAAAACAAACAAACAAACAAAAAACACTATTAACAGTGTAACAAAGGCAACCCACAAAATTGGAGAAAATATTTGCAAATCATATATCTGATAAGGGATTAATATGAAGAATATGTAGAGAACTCCTAAAACACAACAACCCCCCCCCCAAACAACCCAATTCAAAAAATGGGCCAAGGACTCAAACAGACATTTCTCCAAAGAAGATACATGAATGGCCTAGAGCACATGAAAAATGCTCAATGTCACTAATCATTAGGGGAATGCAAATCAAAACTACAATGAGATACTACCTCAAACCCATTAGGATGGCCACTATTAAAAACAACAACAACAACAAAACAGAAAAGAACAAGTATTGGAGAGAATGTGGAGAAAACTGGAACCGCTGTGCACTATTGGTGGGAATGTAAAATAGTACAGCTGCTGTGGAATATGGTATGGTGGTTCCTCAGAAACTTAATAGAATGACTATATGATCCAGTAATTCTACTTCTGGGTATAAACCCAAAAGAGTTGAAAGCAGGATCCTGAAGAGATATTTGTATGTCCATGTTCAAAGTAGCATTATTTACAATAGCTAATACATGAAAGCAACCTGAGTGCCCATTGATGGATGAATAGATAAGCAAAATGTGGGCTATACATACAATGGAATATTATTCACCCTTAAAAAGGAAGGAAATTCTGCAATATGCCACAACACGGATGAACCTTGACATTATGCTAAGTGAAATAAGCCATTCACAAAAAGACAAATCCTGTATGCTTCTACTTATATGAAGTATTCAGAGTAGTCAAAATCATAGACAGAAAGTAGAACGGCAGTTGCTAGGGACTGGGGGAAAGGAGGCAATGGGGAATTACTGCTTACTGGGTAGAGTTTCAGTTTTATAAGATGAAAAGAGTTATGGAGTTGAATAGCGGT